GATTCTTTTCCCCTAAAAAGTAATTGCTAAAATCCATTACCTCCAAAATACCCTCCACGTTTCTTTCATTTCCCTAACATTTATTTTGAAAAAAAATCAGGAAATAAATTATATTGGATTAGAGCAAACTAATACTGAATTCTTCAGATAAATAAATTCTATTATTGGGTCTCTGGGAGGTTACATTCTTCTTTCAATATGCCTTCTCTGCTTTGTGAAGTTGTTTAGAACAACTCACCTGAATGATGACCAGAGTTAGCTGACACTGTAGGAGAAAAAGGAAGCACTTCCGTATGCCATAAGTTGCATGGCGGGCCTAAAAGTGAGCACATTATTGGGATATTATTAATGAATGAGTAAACCAGCAGATCTATCACCTACATCAGAAGCTACATGGTTGCACTAACAGACAAAAATACTTTCAATAGGAAGCAATTTTTCAGAGCAAATACCTTTCAAAAAAAGTGTGAAGGCAATTAGCACAGTAAATTAATCTACTTTTATTTAATCAAAATTAAACATTTCAAATGAGTTTTCAAAAAATAAAAAGGGCCCATTCTAGCCTTTCAAATGCATCCTCAGCATTCAAAATAATTTTAAAAAATGAACCATTAAATTTCTTCAGGTGCTGAATTATATGCAGATACCATTTTATATTAGTAGTAAAAGATAGGACACTGAAAATTGATCCAGATTGATTTGAAGTAAGATACTTAACGCTTTTGTCTACTTTATTCTAGAACCTACCAGCAATATTAAGTTATGATCATGATTAAGATGAGAATTTGATGGCTGTCACAACTGTTCCTTCTGTCTCTTGAAAGAAAAGCAGGCTTACTTGTTCTATAAGTCTGATGATCCCAATTGTTTCTTCAGGGCAAATAGACAAGGAGCAGGATAAACTATTCAGCTGGCCAGAGAGTTGAAGTGGCGTGAGCTCATCAGAAATATGGGTCATGTTTGTGCTGGTAGCATAACCAAAGGTCTCCCAGGAGCATCGAGAGGGATAGAGAGGATCCAGTGCTATGCTATGCAGATAATATGACATAGGGAAGATTAATGCAGCGGGGAAGAAGCCAGGAATAATGACACAAAAGTGATCTAAATAACATGCTGATTATAAACAAACAATGAAAACTGTGGATTATATGCTAGTACTTGACCAAGATGAGACTTATCAATGGCAACCAGTCACAATGTCTACATCCTACTTCCAAGATCTGAGGCTAAAGTTTCCAGTGGGAAAGGGCTCTTTTTGATCCAGGGGCTGGAATTCTGTTGAAAAATTGTGTCTCAACTGCTGCTGCCTTACATCCCAGCCATCCACCCCAACTCTCCTTTATACATCTGTATAAAAGATGGTTTGGATTTTCAGATCAGAGTCTCTTTACCTGATAAATAAATGGAAGCACATGTGCTGTTGATTTTAAGAGAAATGTAATGCCCAGGCTAGAATACCAAAAAAAGGGGGATAAAGTGGCTAGGGAGGGAAAAATCAGGACAAAACCACAATGAAAGCATCCAAGAGATGTTGGAGCTGTGTGTGAGTATACATGTATAAATATATTGAAAAAACTGGGTCAAGCTCCCGGTCTTCCGTTCATTAACATAACCCGCCCCAAATTAACTTTCCATATTTAATCAAACCAATCATATAGCATTCATTTTAGACTCTTTGATTTTCACAAGATGCTTTTATCAGAATGGATCTTAAGGGTGAATAAATTGGTAATAGGTTGAGGATTTTAAATGGTACTGGACAATTTTGTCCTGTCTCCAACCTTCTCTGAGATGATGGTGACTTCAGAGGGTTCTGGAGGAAGCAGATTATTTGAACCCTTGCATTGAGGGTTCAGACCTTGAGACAGCATTGATTGCAATTGCTGATAATCTGTGACAGGACTGGAAGGGTCTAGAATACTGCAATGCATTCTATGTGCAACTGTCTTTATCCAGAAGCTACAACCAGTTTAGGATCCAGTGGAACAAATACTTATGGGAAACACCTCTACTTTATGACCTGCACTAGCTTCTGCAATTCAAGATGCTCCTTATTGCCTCTAAAGCCTCCATGGCACAGGACCAGATTATCAGCAGGATCACCTACAGTATCTCTAACTGTTTCTGCTTCTCTGACTGGGTGTACATGCTCCAGGCCCTCTCTATTAAACAACATCATCTAATGGGCCTCAGGAAGCGAGGCCTGCCCTATGGAACAGCAGATCTCTAGAGATTCCAATGGCCCCAACTCTGCCAGCCTTTTGCAAGGTGCTGAAAACCTGGTTCTTCCACCAGCCACAGGCCAGGCTGTTAACTGAGCCCATCTTGTTTGTATGGTTGTATGTTTTTTTGGGTCACCTTGGATGCAATGTGCTGTTTTGAAATTATCTTTGTTTACTGTTGGTTATTTCTGTTAGCCTCCTAAAGTTGCTTGTTGAGTGGGCAGTCACAACATTTAAATAATAAATGAATGTTTCCTGTATTTAGTCTGACTTGCTTTCCTTCCCATTTTTCCCTTTGTCTTGCTAAAAGAAAAGTTTTGTTAAGTTTAGGAGACTGGGAGGCTACCGGCATGAGGAAGGCTCTCTTAGGCTAGTCAGAGTTTAGTCAAGGCCCCAAGAGCGTGTCCAATCCTGAGCCAGATGCTGCATAAAGCGGTGAGATATTAATGATGCATTCATAGTCTCCATATAAAACAGGGGCAGACGGTTTCTCAGCAACCAGACGGGCATTCTTTGTGTGTGTGTGCGTGCCTTCAAGTCAGTGGTGACTCCTGGCAACTGCCTGGACTAGTCCCGGCAGTTTTCTTGGCAAGATTTCAGAAGTAGTTTGCCACAGCCTGCTTCCTAGGGCTGAGAGAAGCTCACCCAGCTGGCTTTGTGCCTAAGGCAGGACTAAAACTCATAGTCTCCCAGTTTCTAGCCACTTCTCAGGCCCAGCCCAAGAACAATGATGAAACAGTCCAGTCGAGTGCAGTTCCTTTATTTGCCCACACCTGATAAACAGAATCTTGCCAAACTAAATCTATACTACAGCAACTAGTGGATATACCCTGGGAGATACTAGGGAGTGGCTATCCTGAACCTCTTATGCTTCCCACGCTCCCCCTGGGGACTGTGTTGTCTTTTGCCTCCTTTCCCCTGCTGGAATGCCACGCCTCCTTCCTGGCAGCCCTGATCGCCCACATCAGCCTCCTCCTCATAGATACATTCCATCACACCACTACACCAAACTGTCTCTCTTTCATGTTATTACTATTACTTTTCCACAACCTAAAGGGGCATTAACGTAAGGACCAGCAGAGAGGATGGGATCTGGGGCCTTTTTAATATTTTTTCTTTTTTCTGGGGAGGGGCAGCATTCCACATTTCTAGATAGAGAAAGCCAGTCAGGGATTCAATGCCTCCTTTTTTCCTTCTTTTTCCTTTTACAGTTTCCTCATGAAGAGTGAAAAGTAGGCAATATAGTGCTAAGCTTCAGTTTTGTGACCTTATGGTGCTTCTTCTGCAAAAAGTTAGATCTGGGGGATGTGGTTGCCCAGTCCTGATTCAGACCACATGCAATTGTCCTCCATTATTAATTGCAAGGGAGAACATGTATCTGTACATTCAAAGGCATGAAATGCGCTTCTGAGACAAAGCAAAGAAAAATGGTAATTGTTAAGGCTCAGGGGCGTTCTACACAGCTGTGCAATGAAAAACAGCAGAGCAGTCATTCCAAAAGCAAAAGTCAGGAATGAGCTCATATATTTCTCAAAGTCAGAGGACCAAAGCCTGAAGGCTGCTGCTTTCTTCTTCTTACCTGATATCACTCTGAAGGAAAAGGCAATTGTTGCGCAGGTTGGCAGAGCTGCCCAAGCAGCAAGTGACTTCCCCATACTCCTGCATGATCTTGATCATCTCACACATGGCTGGCAAGAGAAAAGGAAAAAGAACTTACCCCATGGGCACCCTCTAGCTTTCTTTCTTTTTTAAATTAATTTTAATTAAAAGTTTTTACATAGCTAAAAGACAAATACAGAAGTATATAAAGAAAAGAAAGAAAAAGAAAAAAGAAAAACTGCAGAAAAAAATACAATTAAAGAAAAAAGATAGTTAAAGAAGTGACTTCCACCCTTCTTTACAGTAGTTACAAACAAACTCATTATCCCTTCTCCCCCCTTAATGTTAGAGTAATCCCTTCAGCCCATTATTCAATCTTTTTTCAATTGTCAAATCCAGAAATCACCATTTAACTTTTTTCCATTTTCAGCAAAAAGTCCATAAAAGGTTTACAGCGTTTTATAAAAGTACTTATTGTTTTCTCCCTGATCAAACAGGTCAGTTCTGCCATCTCTGCTAGTTCTGCCATCTTCATAATCCATTCCTCCATTGTGGGTATTCCAGTACTTCTCCATATTTGTGCATATAAATAATCTTCCTGTAGTTATCATATATAAAATCAGTCTTCCATAAGTCTTTCCTAATTGACTATCCATAAGTCCCAATGAAGAGTTCTCGTTTCATAAGCACCCTCTAACTTTCTCTGGGGCCTTCCCATCCAAGCAACAAAGAAACCAGCCAGCCTGACCCTCACTTACTTTCTGGGGTGGAATCTGTAAACAGAGGAACGAGCAAAGGCACGTTGTCAATGTTCTGCAGGTGGGGTCTCACCTGGTGGATTCCCCGTGGAAGTTTGGCCTGAAATAAACGAAGCAAACAAGCTAAGGAAAGACAATTATTAAGACCCAGGCTGACTGTGCAGTCTTTTTCCTATAGTCAGATGCTCTGCAGATGGGTTGGCAAGACAGAGGAATAAGACAGCTCTAACTCTTGTCCACTGCTGAATCCAATCTAAAGGGAATCCTACCAGGAAGTGTTTTATTGCAATTGGTCTCTTGCTTGTTCCCAATCCATCTAAGCAAGCCCCGTGGAAGTTTGGCCTGAAATAAACGAAGCAAACAAGCTGTCTGCCTTTATTAATCAAGATATCCCAAGCTCAGTACAGTATCATCAAGGTCTAACATCCAGTAATCTAGGAACTATACTTGAAAGCAAATCAGATCAAGTTGGAATCTTTTACAGAAAGACTCCAATGATGCAACTTACAACAAATTAAGAAGTGCTTTGCTAATAAAATATTTTCCTTATATAAATTACAAAGCCTGTATTGTATGGAGAGGGGAAAAAACCATACCTCTGGGAGAAAACAATGAAATAACCAAAGACTACAGTCTAAAATATACTTTACTGGAAAGTAAGATTTGAAGCAATGGAAGTTTCTGCTGAATAAATGTATTTTTATGACTGGCTGAAAAATTGCCAATTGACAGTGTTAAAGAAGGCTGCAGTGTAAATAAAGATGGTTCTCCACCACTATGAGAATAGAAACTATGGGAGTGCAATTCAAGGAGATAACAAGTTCAAATCCCAATGAAGATGCATATAGATTAATTTTGCCCTTTGTGTGAACATTCTTAAGAGTGACTAAGGGAAATCACCTTCTAATGAAAGGATACCTCAGAATAGTCATCAGTTAGAGCCTAAGATGAAATATATGCAGGGCAGTCTAGTACTCTAATGGGCTGTGAGAATAACCTTGGGAGACAGGAGGAAGAGCCACAGCTTGGACAATGTCTGATAAACGAAATCTGAGTCCACAGGAGGAATGGGGATAGAGTAAGTATCTCAGAAGGAACCATCTCTAGTTCTCTGGAAAGTAAAGGCAGGGGAGGGGAGTAGTGCTTTCAGACTTGCAAGATTCTGTTACTCTAACCTTACAATAATGGTAGTATTAGTACTCATGGTTTCGGTTTCCTATCTGGACTACTTTGAAGGGCTGACAGGGTTAGAATCCTAGAGAAAATGGATCTAGATCTAATTGTCTAGATCCCTTTCAGTCAGAGTTCAGAACTGGTCAGACATAACATTGGTCATGCTGATCAGGATTTGGATGGTGGGAGTGATATCATTCAATATGTACTACTGACCATGGTGTCCTTCTGAACTGCCTTGGAGGGTTGGGAGTACAGACAGCACTTTGCTGTGATTCTGCTCTTACCTAAGGGTAAGAGTTTGTAAGTTCCAGTTGATAGGCGTGGATAGAGAATGGTTGAGCCCTTGGTTGCTCCAGTGTTGGGTTTGGTCTTCTCTTGTAGGTTATTTAACTTTTATATAAAACCACTGCCAGAAGTCAATTGTCAGTTTGCAGTTAGTTGCCATCAATATCCGGATTAGACCACTTTATATAGCTAGTCCAGAGACATTCTTGAACTTCTGTGGGCTATACGGGACTGGTATGAAACAAGCTCAAACTAAACCCTAGCAAGATGGAATACCTGTTGACCAATTAACCTTATGAATGTTCAGTAATATGTTGCTCTTAACAGGATCCCTGAAAGAGCTGGTCTCTGATTTGGGAGTCCTTCTGGACTGGCAGTTAAACAGCACAAAGGTGGAAGCTGTGAAAAGGACGGCCTTTGCCTAGTTTTGGCTGGTTTATCAGTTATGGTCCTCCCTGGACCAGGGAAACCTTGTGAGAGTGACTCATCTTGATCACCTCACAACTGAACTAACACAACACACTCCACATAGGATTGCCTTTGAAGAAAACCTGGAAACTGCAGTTGATCCAAAACAAACAGCCAGACAGCTTGGGGTGGGTGTACAATCCACAACTGCAAAATTATGCCCATCTTGAGGTTGCTGCACTAAATAGGTTCCTGCGTCTAATTCAAGTATTTATTTTTTCATTTATATTTATTTATTATATCAATTTATATAAAGTGTTGGTTATCACCTCTAAAGCTACACGCAGCCTGGCACCAGTATCAAGGACGACTTTATCACGTATGGGTTTGCCCATCCAGTCTGAAACTCAAAAAAGGGTTTCTCACTACCGTGTGAAATAAGAGGGGTGTGGACTAGAAGGTGGAATTTTTCTTTAGCAACCTGGACACCATGAAACCTTTGTCCCCAGAAATATGCTTGAGTCCAATTCTCCTTGCAGTTTGGAAGGACTGAAATCCACTGTACTTCGATGAGCCTTCAGTGAAGGTGAGCAACCAGCTGATGTTGTTATTAGTGTCACTGTGGGTTTGAATTAATAAAGTTATTCTCCCTTGTGGTGTACTGCCCAGTCTTCTCTGATAGCAACATTTTGCAAATGGGAGGGAGGGAGGGAGGGAAGAGGCAGGCTAGGGAACCAGCAATTTCAACTTCCAGTAGCACAAAGCTCCTCCATTCTTGTTCTTCCCTCTCTCTCTCTTCCCAAGATTTTCTCCCACCCCACCCCACCCCACCCCACCCCTTTCCTTACATTTCCATTTCTTAGTTTCAGCCCATTTAATAAGTATCACTAAGTTTTATTGTAAGGAAGGGATATCAAAATGAAAAATAGAGAGTTGTCTTAAAAAGCAACTGCATCCGGTCCAGCAGGCAAGATGATCAACACATTGCATATGTACTTGTTTGAGGAAGGCTGTTATGCATATTGTCTATGTACAGGGAATCCTTGTTATTTGTGGGTTCCATATTTGCAAATTTGCCTACTCCCTAACTTTTATTTGTACAGGTAGTCCTTGTGTTACAACGGCAATTGGGACCAGGATTGCCATCACTAAGCAATGTGGTCGTAAAGTGCAATATCATATGACCGTATCACTTAGTGACAGCAATCCTGGCAGTCCCAGTTGCAGTCGTAACCCCAGGACCATGTGGGTTGTTAAGCAGGAAGAAGTGGGAGTCCCAGGCAAGGAGTGAGGGGTGCCATGGGGGGGGCGTGGGGGATGGAGGGTGCCATGGGCAGAAGCTAAGGAGCACAGGCAGGTCGTCAGAGGCCTTGAAGGGGTCATTGGAGGCCTTGGGAGGGTGGTCAGAGGCTGCATATGGGTCAGCAGAGGCCTTCGGGGGGCCGGTGGAGGGTGCATTTGGGCCAGCAGAGGCCACAGGCAGCAGGGGGTGCTAGAGTATGAGATCCCTGTAGCAGGATACTCCGTAGCAGGCTCCTCAGGAGAAAAAGCAGCGAGAGCTACTTACTGGAGTGACTTGCAACCTTCCCTGCCAACTTCCCCATTGACTTTGCTTGTGGGAAGCCAGCAGAGAAGGTCACAAATGGTGATCATGTGACTCGCTGCATCATTGTAATTGTGAGCCAGGCACCCAAGTGCCTGGATCGTGATCGTGTGACCACAGGGGTGCTGCAATGGCTGGAACTTCAAGGAGGGGACATAAAACCATTTTTTCACCACTGCTGTAACTCTGAACAGTTACTGAACGAATGGACATAAACCAAGGACTACCTGTAACCCCAAAAGCAATACTCACAACACATTCGCGGTTATTTGTAAAAATGCACAGAGTGGCAAACATTTTTAGTCACTGCTCTGCACATGTCTTCTCTCATACTGATGATCTTGGTGGTTAAAATGGCCCCCAAGCCTAGTGTTCTGAAGCGCAAGAAGGCTGTGATGTGCCTTACAGAGAAAATACACATGCTAGATAAGCCTTGTTCAGGCATGAGTTATAGAGCTATTGGTCATGAGTTCAATGTTAATGAATCAACAATACGGTACATCCAGAAAAAGGAATAGGAAATTCGCTGCTCTGTTCGTGAGGTGGTTCTGGAAAGCACCAAAGTAACTTTAAATGCTTAATTTTTTTTTCAGGACTTTATTTGTAAGAAATATATACATTAAATAAGATGTCAGAAACAGAAACACACATAAAGGAAGATTATGTATTGATTGGTTGATGAAAATGTTGTGACCAGAGGCTCGCAAGAATGTAACCCTGTATTTTCCCTAGGAGCAATAGTTCAATAATCACTAATTCAGTATTAATGACGATTCCACAGAACACAACTACTGCAAATAACAAGAATTTTCTGTAGTTGTACTGAAGTGTATATGTGAATAATTAAAGAAAGTTTTGTTTCCAAGACTGAGATAGCTAGCTATTTCTAACTCATCCAGTGAAATCATTTTTACTCTCCCTTTTCAAAGCATAATTTCCAGAAGAAAAAAAGAAAGAAACCCTCCTTTGGTGCAGTACCTGGAATTCCTCCAAAAACTGATGCTCATTATAATTTTTAATGTGACAGACAGGAATATGAGATATAATTAAATATATCATTAAATACAGAAAGAGCAGTTATATTAATTGCACGGAATTAAATTTAATTAACTCAATCATATGTAACTTTTTGCTTTTTGACTCTACATTCAAAGGCAAAGTAGAGCTCTTAGTGCGAAACAGGTTGTATACCCACATCCTACAGCCAGTAGCCATCACTCGCTTGCATCAGATGATTATATCCTCTTAACTTCACTGGTACACCTGGGCTTCTGCTGCTTAGATACTTTAAAAAAGGTGCCATGATGAACCATAATCTCCCACTATATATGCTAATACATCCATGGGGATTCGAGGAAGCAATCTGTTAGATTAAGGTAACATACACTATACATATATACCTGTTGTTTTAAGCCTCACTAAATTAAACAGAGCTTTCTTCTGAACACCTTCCCACCTGCCTACCTAATTATTAAGTGTAAGAATATACAAGCAGCCAAAGCAGTTGCTGAGAATCTACTCTGGCCAGGAATGAAATGTCAACCTTACCCTGTTGCAGTCCTCCAGGAAACTGGGGATGTCACTGTCTGTTGGCTGGAAGCTAATGAGATCTGAGTGGCCTTCCTCCTCCATCAACAAAAGCCCCTCTGCATCTTCTCGGGAGACTGAGGACAGAGAGGATAGCGACATGAAAACAGAAAACGGCACCTCTAACGTCAGACACCTCCTCCCCAGCATTTCCCCACAAGGCCCTGTGGCAGCCCAGAAGTACAAATTCTGGTTTTCTGTGTTACATCAACTGATAAATCCCACTCAACATTCCTAAAATAAAAGGTGTCTTAAATAACTCATCTTACTCAGCGTCACAAGCGTCATCTCATATGCAGCCAAGTTTTTAGCTACATCTAAAGCTAAGGAGTGTATTACATAGAAAGGCTTAAAAGTAGAGATGCTTCCAGATGGATGGTTAGTAGTATTAGCAGTGAAAAGACAGGTGGCTGGATAGGGAATGGTTAGTTTATATCTGTATTTTGGATGGGATCCATGGACTTGGGGGAGAGATGGCAGGTTTGGTGGGCGGGATGCTGGTTCAACAGGGCAGGAAGCAGCAAGCAGTAACATCTTAGTGGTGATGGGCAGAGGAAGATATGGTGGGAGATAAAGGTGAGATTACTCCTGGGAGGTGTACTTGGTGTCTTGTATCAATTCCTTTTTTTAGCCCTCTAAGTCACTGGGTCCTCAGTGGCCCAGGGCTCAGACTGCTGCTTAATGCCAGGTTGGCCTGTAATAAAGGCGCTCTTCATCCAGGATCTTATTATGAAATAAGAAGACAGACCTGGCGTGTATCACCAAGACCTGGATGGGCATGAGGGAAGGATTCCCCTATTGGAAATGTGTCCACCTGGGTTTCAAGTATGGCACCAACCACAACCCTTGGTGGACTTGATGTGATAGTAGCTATTGTCATCCTGGGTACTCTTGTGGCTTTTATACATGCTGCTCCACAGATAACCAGATGTGAGATTCTGAAGCTGAGCTCTAGGGAACAGATAGGGTTGCTGCTACTATATTGGCCTCCCTGCTGCATAGCTGTTTCCCTACTTGAGCTGCTTGACACTATGGTTGGGTCAGCAATGGAGCTTCCCAAACTGATAGGTGCAGGGACTGGAGTGGATCAGGAGTTCATGGCTTCCACAGCAACCACAGACCTGACCCAGACAACTGAGGTCCAACATACAATTAAGGAAGATGAAAAGCAAATCTGACCAAATGTAGGTAAGAGTCTTTAATAAGGGTTATACTGTGGCAATAACAGCAGCAAAACATAGCTATTTTTCTGCTCTTATTGCATTCATGGATTGCCATCTAGTGGCCCTCTTTAAGATGACCCAGCCCCTCCTAGGGATGGATGGGTCAAAAGAAGGGCCACTGTGAGGACTTTGAGGCATCTGTCAGACAAAAGTGCTCATATTTACTTTGAGCTGAACTCCAGCTACACAGGTGCTGTTAAGTTATCTGAGGCATGGTCTGGTGTGGTTATCGGGAAACAGGTGAGCTTACGGTTCCCAAGGAAGGGGTCCAGGTTCTCAGAGCTGTGAATGTGGTGACTTACTCATTGATTCAAGTACCTCCTGGTTGGTCAAGGCCTCCCAGGAGATGACTGTGGCTGGGTCCAAGCAGTGAATTCATCTGAGGGGGCATTCTGCCTGTGCTTAAGAAGGTGGTGGCCCACCCCATCATTGGACCCAACAGTTTTGGACAATTTCTAATCTGCCTGCAACTTTCCTTCTTGGGGAAGTTTGTTGAGAAGGTGTTTGGGCTGCAGCTTCAGAGGGCTCTGGAAGAAACAGATTATCCAGATCACTGCCAGTCAGGTCTCAGGCCTCAGCACAGTATCAAAACAGTAATGATTGTGCTTGTGGATGACCTACATCAGGATCAGGATGGGGGTAGTGAGGATTACTTTCTTGATCCAAAGATTTTCCGTCCTTGGTTCTGAATGGGTTGTGCTGTCCCAGACAGGTGTGCAGTTTGGGGGCCCTCCTACACTCATGACTTCTGTTTGAAAAGCATGTGGCATCCATGACTCAGAGGTCCTTTGCCCAAATCCATCTTGTGTACCAGCTGCATACCATTCCAGAATCTGGAGACCCTATCCACAGTCGCTCATGCCTTGTTCATTTTTTGCCTGGATTACTGCGACATGCTCTACACAGAGCTGCCTTTGGACCTTCTAGAAGCTACAGCTAGTCCAGAATGCAGCAGTGCAGGTAGTTATGAGTGCACCTCAGTACAACTGTGACACCACTACTTGGTGAGTTGCATTGGCTATCAGCAGGCTTCCTGGTACAATTCAAGGGTTAGATGTTACTTGTGATTAAATAGTGAGGCCCTCCAATCCACCTGACTGGCTTTTCAATTCTCACATACCTGTGTTGAAGAATTAAGTAAGATAAAGTGGGACTGTCCCATGCAACAGCATTTGTCCTGCTTCAGCAGAGTGCATCAGAATTTGCTTCAGCAAATCAGCCACCTTTGTTGTAGCCAACATTCCATCCACCCTCTGCAAACCCTGCCAAGCTATTCTCTCTCACCTTGAGGAAGGTCCTCATGCAAGGAGCCTGCATGACTGGGACTGGAGGGAGGGATTTCAGATCCAGGCACATCTCCATTGGGAGTTAGAGATATATGGCAATTCCAGCCAGTCTCAAGACCCATCTTTTCAGCAAACACCTGTAAAAATGAAAGGCAAGAGGCTAGAGAGAAAATGAAATCAAAGCAATGGGGGTCTACAATCTAGATTCAACTTCAAGAATACAGGTTACAAGGCATTTAGTGTTTGATTATTTTGATCAAAACCTTTCTGGCTATTTTGATAAAAAGTCATCAATGGCACAGTAAAAACTATGTAAATCACAAAAATGTGTACACATGTTTCTTAATATAGTTTGGCTCTATTACCAGGAGAACTTCCATTTTTTGGATAGAATAAGTATTTATTTTTTTATTTATTAAATTTATCCCTGCCCATCTCCCCCTAATGGGGGGCTCTGGGCAGCTCACAACTCATTAAAACAATAAATAAATATACAATTACATAAAACCTAAAACCTGTACAAAACAATTGCAAGCGACATCACAGTGCGTGAACAGAAGCAGGGGGGAGCTGTCATTGCAATGTATGTTTTAGCAT